TTTCTGTTGAAATTTTTTGTGCTTAATTTTGTGGATTAATTTCGTGTACTACCTGAAGGTGAAATGTTCAATCTATACGAAATTTCAGAAATTAAAAAATGTAGAAAACTTGGTTAGTTACCGAAATTAAGACATCTTGGTATTTATAAAAATTCACCTCTATTTTTAGTAGAATTCCCCAAAACCTTTTGAGCACAAATGAATACATGTAAATAGCAATATGATACAACGTAAATTCTGTACAACTCTGTGTCTTTTGAAAATGGCCTAATAGCCTAAACAATTTCGTCAAGAAGGTTCTGAAATTGCTTCTGATGTTTTTTATAGTCTCGATAAATTTCTTTTAAGTAACATATGTTTCACAATGAATGTAAATGCAAAATGCAACAAATGGCATGACTGACAATCAAGGAATACCTACGCTGGAATTGGTGGATGCGCAAGGCCAGGATAATTTGGAAACTTGTTTTAATCTACAGATATTAATCGGAAAAGTGTATGTTCTTCATTAGTTACTTATTATTATCTGTAACTGTTATAGAATATTCACTATTCATTGTTATAAACGTAGGCTAATCCCAAATTAATAAAACTGTCAAAGACTGTACATCAATGTTATGAATTCTTGGCATAATATGTATGTATATTTGACAACGATTTCCTATTCTTTTGGTACCTTCTATTAAGCTGTTTAGTTTGGTGTACTATTTTGACGAATTTTCATCAGGTATTCTTCTTTACTATTTAATACCAATCATCATCATCATAAGGTTGTTATAAGAGTGGTTGGACACGTACTTGCACCCTTTTCTATCCTGAGCTAATCTTCGCATTTTCCTAAAACTAGAACAACCCACATCCTTAACTATTTGCGATCAGTAATCTAATCTAGATCTACCTTTACTCCTCTTAACTCCTGCCTCTAATATATATTTCTGACTAAACTTTCATACCTGAGAAGATGTCCTACCAACCTATCTCGCCTATTTTTTATTGACTTCCATAGAGCCCTCTGTTCTCCTATTCCCTCTAATACCATTTCATTTTTAACCTTCTCTGTCCACGGTATCCTCATCATTTCCCTGCAGTTCCACATTTCGATGCTTCTAACCTTTTCTATTCCTCCGCGACCAACGTCCATGCTTCACACCCGTACAGCGCCGCGCTCCAAACATACACCTTTAACAATCTTTTTCGAATTTCTAAATTAACCGTTCTCAAGCAGAGAAGTGACTTCTTTTTACTGAAGACGACTCAACCTTGCTCTTATTTCTGCTTTATATCCCTACTACTCCTTCCGTTCTGACTTATCTGACTTCCCAAATACCTAAAATGAACCACTTCGTCTCCTATCTGCATATTCGCTCTTTCCCTACTTTTAATACCAATAAAAATACACAAAAAAACGTTATTGCATTATAAAAAAAATTGGCGTATATATGGGAAAATGTTGGAAAAATGATGTCAGCGACCCCTTTAGCCTCATATATACTTTCTTGTTTATAAAATTTTAATTTCCGTTAACTATTTCATTCATTGCAAAAATGTAGATTAAATTATCAGACCGCTTCATATTGACCATACTTAGACGAATGGGATCTTAGAAGCCGCTTGCATTCCATCGATTAATCGGTTCTGTTTAAATGGTAAATCGCTCCGTTTTGCTGCATTCGAAGATTTGAATTATCCAGAAATGGCAGTCGGTATTGCGCCATAAATCATAATGGGGATGGTAAAGACCGCTTTTCTACGTGGCAATAAACGTTAATTCGATTCTTAAAGACAGTATATGTTAGAATTACAGTCAATTGCCGCTCCTTAAGTTCACACATGTTAAAATGTTCAGAACATATTTTATGATAACTAAAGTCCAAACAATAATGTACGATACGTAACCATACGAAGCGTATCTGGTATGGGATTATGCGTTATATTGGTACTCATATGAGGGTTTACTAGATCCTTTTGTCCTCCTACGGTATCTGCTAATAAATTTATTATCGCTAATTATAATGTCGAAACAATTTTTCGATTGCATGTATCCAAATACTAAATTAATATTTAAATGGGTCAATGCACATTAATAAGTATATTAATGATATCAGAGCTGCATTTGTACGAGTTCAGAATCATAAAGATTACTATGAAGTGGAAATTATGCGTAGAAATAAAAGGAAACACAAAAGGTAAAACTTTCATGTTACTTGTATTCCTCCTCCTGGGAGGAAATGTTGTCCTCTCGTCCCTGAAATCAGGGAAAAATATTTCTAAGATCCACAATAACAATTTCGGTGCACTGTGTCTTCTTTAGATACTAATATTACTTCTCCACCTGAAGAAGGCATATTATGTTGAAATAATTACTGCAACATTAAAAATAATTTGCAATTTTGCGTTTTGCCATTATTTTATCAATAATAATGGGTTACGTACATTACTCGTTCAGTGTGTAAAAATAAAATATCTATTTTATAGGACAAGAGCTAATATAAAGACGAAAAAAGAAGTGGCTGATTTTGGATATCTATTAGGAAGTCAGATTAGTCAGGACGGAAGAAATAGTAGGGATTTAAAGCAGAGGATAGCGCAGAATCGAGTCGCCTTCAATAAAATGAAGTCACTTCTATGTTTGCGAACAGTTAATTTAGAAATTCGAAAAAGATTGTTAAAGATGTATGTTTGGAGCGCGGTAGGTACTGTACGAGCGCTAAACATGGATGGTGAGCGCGGCGGAAAAGAAAAGGTTAGAAGCCTTCGAAATGTGGTGTTATAGGCGAATGATGAGGATTGAAAGGTTAGAAATGAAGAGGTATTAGAAAGAATAGGGGAACAGAGGACTCGGTGGAAGTCAATAAAAAATAGGCAAGATAGGTTGGTGGAACACCTTCTCAGACATGAAGGTCTAGTCAGAGACATATTAGAGGCAGAAACGGGAGAGGTAGAGGTAGATCTAGATTAGATTACTGTTCGCAAATAGTTAAGGATGTGGGTTGTTCTAGTTTTAGGGAAATGCGAAGTTTAGCTCAGGATTGGAAAGAGTGGAGGTACGTGTCCAATCAGTTTAAGGACCGACGATCTTATGATAATGATGAAAGGACAAAGTAAAAAGCAATCGCACAACCCAATTTTAACAACATGATTTTAGAAATTTGATGACAATTAATATACAAAGACAAAAGCTAACCAGCGAACAGTAAACTATTGAGAACATGACGTAAATCATAAAATAAGGCTTTGCCACGCATCATGAGATAAGCTGATAAAATCAACTATCACTAACAACAATTATTGACTGTCTTGTTTGAATTCAAGGCTGATGGTGCGATGAATGAAACACGATTTTAATGCACTGGGCCAAATGAAAAGATCCGATGTGGAAATTTGTTTGAGAAATTCGGCTTTGTTTATTTTATTTATGTTTTTACGTATGACAGACTTAAATAAACTAACTTATATAAAAGCCAAAACTTTACTTTGTTTCTATTTCGGACATGATTTGAATTTTATCAATTGGGTCACAGTAAGTGTTGCTTCAAGACTCAAGATTAATATGAAGCCACCCATTTCGCATTCCTCTTAAAAAAGTGGTTAAGTGGAATTTTACAAAAAGTGTTTCCTTTGTGGGCTCATGACTTCAGAACAAGATACTGGCAGCAGCCCTCTTCCCGCCTACTCCTTAGGTCGATATTACACTCTTTCTAATCGTAATAAGCGATGTCTTTTCTGTTTTTGAAAGACACTAAGATGGAATCCAACACTACATACTGCTGGTGTCTTTCAAAAACAGAAAAGACATCGCTTATTACAATTTGAAAGATGGAATCCAATACTACACACTGCTGAAGAGCACCTACCAACTAAAACTTCTCTAACCTCAGGCCCTTTGATGATGGTTTCGCTCGATCCTCTTCAGTTAACGATTAATGTATTTTATGTTATGAAGTTTGACGCTGTTTGATGATTAAGTGCAGTGTCTAAGTTATCTCTACCATTTGCTGTTTTCACCACCAAAAACTAGGTAGCTCATAATCTTGTGGGTCTACAATTCATAAAGGTGCTAACCATGCGCCTTAGTTAAATGTAAAGGAAATCCTTTAAGAGAATGACATAAACGCGCCGGAACAAAAGTCAAATTTGATTGAAGAACATCGAATATATTTATGGAAATCCTTGATTATCTTTGTATACTTCCCTAAGAAAGACATTCTAATTGTCATTTTTTCCCAAAATAATTGTATAATTTTATTCTTATGTTCTGGTTTCACAAAAGCAAAAAGCCTTTCTTCTTTGGAAGTGAATAAAGATGATCAAGGATTTCCATAAATAAATTCGATGTACTTTAAACAAAGATAAATTGTTTTTGTTTTGCAGTGTTCGGGTCGTTGTCTTAAAGGATTCCTTTAACGTTTAGCTTAGGCGCATGGTTAGCATCCTGTGAAACCAGAGTTTGCTTTGTGGTTTTACAAAAATAAAAAACCTTTTATTCCTACGGAGCTTGGAAAACTTTTCTGCTTTAAGGATTGAGATCGAAAAAAAAAAGTAAAATTGAATTGAGTAGTTGGATAATATTAATATATCTAATCGAAAATTGATAGGTAAGACATTTTGACAGTCATTTTCGTCAGCTAAAACATTGACTCTTCCGTTTGAAATTTATTCTTCAGGTATAGAAATAGGAACTATGACGAAAAAGAACTGCTAGGTATTAAAATATTATTCAGGTTTAATTTGAAGAAGTAGATTTGGTTCCCAGATTTCTTGTTGGACTATAACAAGATAATAATTAATATCAGCCGTCACCTTTCCCGGCATATTGATTTACTTCGGACACGAGCCAGCAAGAAAGCGAAAGTGTCGGTCCGTGAATACGAAATTATTAAGGACGCGGAAGCGCATTCAGACTTGACGCCGTGACTCCAGTACTCATGAAGAAGAAGGCAGGAGTAATAAGTTGTCAGGTTGTTGAAGAAGTGGTCGGTCGATTTTCGCAATGACACCTATCCGTCACATCGCGGCGTCCACCGCGTCGTGAAACGGAATCGCTCAACTATCCACCCCTGGTAGTGGGGCGTTCGATCATCTTTGATTGGCCCATCGCTTTAAGTACAGGTGGGCAGGTGGAACACTCAAGAAGACAACGCTAGCAGTGACCAAGTGTATGTTTGTCTGTCGGTCCATCGGTGTATGAGAAAGCGAACATTCACTCACAGCTCATTCACAGCATCGATCTTTCCGACCTGCCTGTGGGTACGTAAACCGATTCGATAACGAGAACCGGTTCAAACCCATGCATCCCGGAAGAAAATCCACCTGCAGCAAAATCGTGGTCGTAATAAATCGAATTGCCCATTGCAATCATTAATGAACAAAACGCGAACTTATTACACGATACCTACCAACAATAGGTGTTAGTAGTACGAGTACACAACTAATAAAGTTCCTGCAAAAGTGATGCGTAGACCCGTTTGCTATTATGCTAACAACTAAAACATAATAAACGTAACGTGTGAAGTGTCTTAATGCTTAGTCAAATAAGAGCGGTTGACAGCGTCGACAAATAAAATAATGTTTGAAAGACGCCCGCCGGTGAAAACACTCCAACGTCGCTGTCAGTTATTAGTTGTTTGAATATCCTCGCGTGCGGCTGTTTTGAACGACGACTCACTAAGGAGGTGGTTGGTATTATTTTATTAGTTGCGGGGGTTACAGCGGCACGGACAGTTCCGGGCCTCGGGGTAATAGTGGACGTCATTGCTGGTGAGTGGTGATGCTTGGTGATGATGTGTTCCTTTGGATGAAGAAGCAGCAGGATGCCAACCCGGAAAACGGGTCGGATGACGACTGGACTCACCATTTGCGCAATCGCCTCCTTTTTATATACCTTCAGGTACGTGAACAATAATTTTTTCATAAAATAATAGAAATCTCTGTACATAACGTTGAAAAGAAATACTAACTTTTTTGAAGTGCGTTCTTACCCATGTGGATACAAAGTGACACTGTTTTCCCGAGAAGAAGTGTAGATTTGTTCAAATCTATTAGGTAGGGTACTACTTAATTTTTAAAAGTTATGAAAGATGCAACTTCTAATTCGCGATAGCGCCTATCTTTCGTCGACCAATACGTAAAAAGTTTAAATGTTGAAATTTATTTTCCTTTATTTATTTTTTAACAGCATTTAATTTTTTAAAATCTTACCTGCATAGTCATTTACAAAATTAATTCTCTTTATACAACTTCTAGTTGACTCAGATTTCTTTGAAACAGTAACAGTTACCTTTTTAAATTAATAACATAATATGTAAACTAATCATTAATTTTAATAGACCTTTTTCATCATTAAATACGCCAATGCTATAAATAAGTAAGTAGGTAGGTATGTAATTCAAAAGATTTTTAGCTAATTTGAGACAATTAATGTTATGAAACATAAAATTTAAAAAACAATATTCGCTATCACTGTAAGTTTAATGTAACGGCAAATTTAAGAAAAACATAACAATGTCGTTAATTCAGTTGATTCCAATTCCATTAATCCAAATATCTGAAATTTTGCTCTATGGTAATAAGTTACTGTTGTTCTAATTTGGTTTTATTGGATCAATACGTATAACAGTTCGTATGGTAGCATTTTCAGAGGCATAATTAGATGGCTTTCCCTAAACATCGTTAACATTTATAACTGCAGTTAGAATTTGTATTACGCATATGAATTGTGCCCAAAAAGAAAATCACTAGATTTAACTTGCATAGATGCTTTCCTTTTTTTTTTAATTGCTTGATACTTTACCAAAATTCTTTTTAACTTCTTTAAGTTAAATATTTTAAATAGTTTTTACAAATGTAAATTATATATTATACATAAAAAATTACAGATTAAAGAACAAAGATATTTAAGGAAATTATAATTAATGTCTACATCTTGTATTTTTATTGTTAAAATAAAAACGTATCTAATGGATCCATTTATAATAAAACTTGGATATCTATGTTTATATGAGATATACCTTTTCCTTTCTGTGAAATTGAAAATTTCCTATTTCTTGTTGAAGTATTTCCTAAATACCGATTATCCTTTTGAAACATTTAATATATTTGTATCTTACTCCTGCTGAAGGTATGATATTTTTCCCTGATTTCAAGAACGAAAGACGCTAGCAGGTCACCCCGCATGCACACATACATATGAGTAATTTGCAGCTAATTAGTATTAAAAACATTATTTTTGTAGAGCCTATAAATTTTTATAAATCGAATGATCTGCTGTTGTAAATTCATGCTAGTTAATAACATACCTAAGTATATATTGGTTTCAGTTGAGTTTGGGCTCTAATTTGTGACATTTTTTAGCTAATTGTAGTGAATTCCTATTAGTGAAAGTATTTATTATCGGATTATCTGCTGTTAGCTGATAGCGGCTTATAAATGACATATTTTTTCAGTTAATCCCAATCACTAGTGAGTTAGTGATTTTGTAGAGTTTATAGATAGGAGATACTGCCTTTGGTCGTCAGTCCACTATAGGCTTTCGGCTCGAGTGGCAAAATACGCCCGGGACGGATTACTATACTTCCTTCTCTTGGTGTGTAGTCTACTAATATAAAGTTGATGAAATGAAATGTATTAATCAATCATCGCAGTGTCCGTTCTAACTATCTGTCATAGACATTTTTATTGTCACAAGTTGGCATTGAAATTTTAAATTTGACGCGGCAATAGGAAGTAGCTACAAACAAACTACAAATTGTTCGATTACTAACCTAATCTAGTAATAGTGGGATTTTAATTTTGTCCAACAACAATGTGTGATGACTTTCTTAGTACCTATACAAAGTAAACTGAAAAATACTCATTTTGACAATATTTATAGAATCTCTGTTATTATTGAAACAACAACAAATAGTAGGTACCTTATAATATCCTTCCTATAAATTTAAATATAAAAAATTATTATTATTACTAAGAAGTTGAAGTTTTGTTATTTTATTTTTGATAAGCAAAGTTAGTTCCCTAAAATATAATATGAGAAATATCGTGAATCCAAATCCTGAAGGAAATTCCTACCTACATTTTTATTTTCGGAATTACAATATGTTTTATTAATAAGAATATGCTATTCTAACTGGTTCGTAGATGTAATTTTCTGTAATACGTCAATCAACAATGTGTACTATCAAAATACTAAATAAGTGCTGATAACGTAATCGTTAAGACAATTAAACATCTTAATTACATATTTACAAACCATTCATCTTTCATGTACCACGTACGCAATCATTGTATTGCTTTTTGTTTTAATGTTTTAGGTACTTACGTTTTACTGAAGTAATGTTATTGTGGAAGGAAGTTCTAGGTAAGATAATTGAAATGATGTAAGAAGATATGACTCAGTTTTACAATTGAAAATATTAGAATCTTGTATATACAGGCAAAGCATTTCAAGTGACAGTACATTTCATCCTATATGCATGAATAAATTGATATGACCCGTTCAATAATTTTAAAAACGCAAATAATGTACATCACCCTTTTGTAATTGAATACAATAAAAGTTTCTTATTCTCGGTTTTCTTATTCGCGTTTTCATTATTCGCGGTTGCAGTCGGTAAACAGAAAAAGATTCGGTGTCATTTATTAAGCGGATTGACCGCAATAGACCGCTCGTGCCTAGTGTGAATTTTTCCGAAAACATGGGTTTCTATTCTAAACATTGTAATTTAACGCTGCGAGATAAATATCTAATTTTTTGTATGGTAACAGACAAAGGTTCACACTAACTCGGTACGTTTTTGGTTTTCAATAATATGGTCATTAAAAGCTTTTACAAGTGCTTAAAGTTGATGCTTCTTGTAGGACACGTATTTTCAATAGAAATTAAAAAATTTAAAAATGCCCTTAAACAAACTTTAGAACCAAGCTTTATCTATCTTACTACAATTTTTCAAACCTCTATTCCAAATATTAAATTCATGATATCTAGAACCGATAAGCATGTTTTAACTCTAGGGCGCGTGTACTACTGAATCCCCTAATGTATCGGCATCTTTTGAGTATCTACAGTTGATACGTGCTGAAGCGGCTTTTATAAAAAATTTAACGGATTCTGTGTTATTTTTCAACGTATCAGCATCTTTTGAGTACTCTTGGCTCGTGCCGAGGCGATTTTTATAAAAGATGAAACAGAGTGGACTAATTTCAAAATTCAAAACAAGAAAGAATCAGTTTTTAAACTCTTGCCTAAAGCTGATTATAACGATTAATTTTAATTGCGAATTTATCAATACATTGATTTTATTTTGATACATATTGGTTTTATTTTGGAACCTTGGAACGTATCCCCTATGATTCCATACTAATTACCATTCCATATCCACGGTTTCTGCATTCGCGGCATATTTATGGAACGTATACCCCGCGAATAAAGAGGTTTTACTGTATTGTAGTTTTACTGAAATATTAAACAATTGAATAATTACAAAAGTTCTAACATCGTAGCTGAAAATATGAGCACCCGTTGTGGCAATTTCATAATTAAATTCTTCTAAATAATTCTTAACAAACCGGATTAGGTACCGTCGCTCATTCGGGAACGTTTTCGAACCTTCTACAAAACTATAAAGCATTCTCGAACCCTGTAGATGTGGGCATTCACGAAAAATGTGTGTCAATCTGGCCAGACGTCGGAACTCAATTAATACCTTTACTGACTCGGAGTCCTTTGGGACAATAGTCTTTTAATCCCTATGTCTTTATAACCAATTCTTACAGCTGAAAAGCGAAACCTTCTTGGTAGACAGGGAATGGAAGGCTATCATTCCAAATAACCCTCCTGAGGCTACGGGATTTGGTTGAGAAGTTTACACTTACTTTTATTATAAATATTGATTAACAATTGTCATACGTAAGAAGCGGATAAAACAGACCTCTGTTGGTGATAATTGCTTGTGGAAATTAGAGGTGAATTTTGTTTTGTAAGGAATGACTTTCTTTTGTTATGAATTTACCATCCATACTGTAAAAAGTTTGTTAGATAGAATTATGTCAGAATTAATGGCGCGCGCACATACAAATTACATAACTAGTTCAATAATATTTCTACTTCTGGAAATGCTAAGACGTTATTAGAATACTGCTCTTGGCATCCTCAGAGAACGTAGCGAGGGCTTCCTTGCGGTTGTTTCGAGGATATCACATACAACTGTTAGCGAAACTTCGGGTAAACGACTCTATTGATGTTCTCACTGAAGGAAGAGAATCAATCCTGGACCACGGCTATCAATCCTCAACTTCGAGAACTGTTTTGATTTATGCTCCTGGTCCTTAATTTGTAACTCGCAATCAGTGGCGTGACTGTTATTATTATGACTATTTATATATCTCTTCCTTTTAGTTAATCGCATTTTTTCATTTGAGTATTTGGATGTAGTATGGACAAAATTTTGTTGTGGGAAGTGACATTTTTACTGTAGAATTATTTTATCTGAATTTTTGTAAATTACACTGGCCTCCTCTGACTTTCATTGATCATAGACTTCCTCTTCAGCTAAAATTCACTGTCATGAAGCAGGATGTTGTGTTCTTTTCTTATCACCTTCCAAAATTCGTCCAGTTTGTTCTACATAAGCCTGTCCACATCAAACAATTGACAGAATCTCTTGATTTACACGGTTCAAGGATTACATTGATCTATCTCTGCACTCAATATTAATATAACCTCTTTTTTTGTACAGCAATGAAAAAAATTAACATGGATTACGAAAAAAAAAAACAGTTTATTCCGATAAACTATAAAAGCTGCCGTTTGTTCTTAAACGAAAAGTTTTTTTGGTTCTGTACTTCAAAAGGAAAAAGGAACTCTTATTACAGGATCACTTAATTGTCCATCTG